TTGGACTAGATGATCTCCAGAGGTCCCCAACCGGTCCGGGATTATGTGAAGTCTAAAGGCTGGATCATGCATCTAGGATGGAATAATGTCAGGCATGAGTATAAATTGGGAGAGGAGTGTCTGGAGAGCAGCCCTGCAGAAAGGGATCTGGGGGTGCAGGTTGGCAGCAGGCTCAGTAGAAGTCAGCAGTGAGGGCAAACTTGGGGTGCATCAAACACAGCAGGACCAGCCGGCCAAAAGAGGGGATTATCCCACGGTATTCAGCGTTGGTGTGGCCTCACCTCGAGTACTGCATGCAGTTCTGGACCACACCATTTATGAATGATGTGAAGGTCCTTGAATGCATCCAGAGGGCAACAAGGCTGGTGAAAGGGCTGGAAGGAATGTCCTGTGAGGAGCAGCTCAGGACTTTGGGCTTGTCTAGTTTGGAGAAGAGGAGCCTGAGGGGGCACCTCATTGCTCCCTGCAGCTTCCTGAGGAGGGGACGCGGAGATGGAGTTGCTGAGCTCTTCTCCCTGGAATCCTATGATAGAACGTGTGGGAATGGTTCAAAGCTGCACCAGGGGAGGTTTAGACTGGACATTAGGAAGCATGTCTTTACTGAGGGTGGTCAAACACTGGAACAGGCTTCCTCGAGAGCTGGTTAATGCCCCAAGCCTGTCAGTATTCAAGAGGCATTTGGACAATGGCCTTAATAACATGCTTGAAGTCTTGGCCAGCCCTGAATTGGTCAGGGAGTTGACTACATGATCAGTGTAGGTCCCTTCCAACTGAACTATTCTTCTCTTCTCTTCTCTTCATGTTGGCACATCAAACTGCAGGCAGAAGGGAAAATGAGCCATAACATGGAAGAAGAGGGGAATCCTCTTACCTGGCTCTGAAAACAATCTGTAATTGCAGGGATGAATGAGGGGAATAGTTCTCTGACTTGACTTTTCATCCATAAAATCTATAAAATGAACAAGTTTGTGCTTCCACCAAGAATATAGTGCAGATTTTAAAGATATTCCATTCTTAGCTCAAAGTGGGTGTATAAAACAGAGCTTCTGCAAGTGTTAGGGTGCAACAGAAGCAAAAGTGAGCTTGCTTTTCTGGTAGGCTTTTCATGTGTGTTTCAACATGTTTCTCTTATTTTTTGTCATCTGCGGCACAGCTATAAAGAAAAAGGCAAGCTGAACTTCTCCAAGATGTCGGTTTACTCCGTGAGTTCCCTTATCCGAAACCGTGAAGGACAATCTCTGTTCATAAGAGCGAAAACAATCTCACAGACCCTTGAAAACTTTTTTGCCTCTTCGGATAAAGAGATCTGTGAAGAGCACACTCCTATTTGGTTCAAAAATACTCACGGCATTAGAAAACTTGTCAGCCGAGTAGAAAAGGAAGTGAGTATCTGAGATGAAGCAAGACTTGGGCTGCAGGGTTTAGAAGGGGCTGTAGTTATCCCACATCTCTCATATTTCACAAGTATTTGTGCTTCAGCAACTATCAAAATATTTTTTTTCCTGTGGTGCCAAATCCAAAGGACCCGGGGCTTGTTTGTTCTCCCTGTTTGCACAGCTGATTTCTAGAGAGGAGATTATCACTGTGTTGGCTCAGTGCAGGTGTTTCTTCCCTGCATGGAAAAGAGAGAAGAGATTGCATGGATTTCTATCAGTGCCTGAACGGCGTTCTGATATTACATGTAAAGACAATAAACATTTTTGTAGTCATTTTGGTACTCAGAGCCAAACCCAAAAATTCTCATTTGGAGTACAGACATCTTAGCAACACTTAAAGGGTAACACTGACATTGCAAACAATGTGGGCTGAAGTTGTGGAGAAAAATAGCCTTTCCGCTCCACGTTGATCACATCCCATCAGATCCAGTCCAGCTAGCAGAAGTCCAATTTGCAGCCAGGGAATGAACTGACAGCCTCAAAATATTGAATACCTTTAAGCACCTTGCAAGGTGTCCAGAGAAGCCAAAATAAACACAAAGTGTTAATGTGCAGAAGTTAGGAGGTCTTGTACTATACAGTTCTAATAGCTGGGCCAAAGAAATGTTCTTTTCAAGGGGCTGCATTTGGAAAAGACTGTGTTCAGGAGAAGTAGTAAACTGGTAGTGACACAGAAGAGAGTAGGAGGAGAAAAGCTTCAGAGAAGCCTTTCAAGATCTGCTGTGCCTGGACTGTTTTTCTGCTCAAAGCGATCTAGCCAGACCCTTCTGTTTTCTCTTTCTAGATCAATGTGGAAGAGGCGAAAGAGATATGGCACAACATGAAGAAGCTGGATGGAGACGTAGAGAAGAAATACAAGATAACTTGTGATGGTAAGAGAGTACAGATGTCAAATGCCTTCAGATAAAGAGCTGTAGTAGAAAACTAAACGGATTCATACTTCTTACTTGTGGCTCTGCACCAGGAAAGAGCATCAAAAAGTACATAAAGTTCCTGTGCTCCTGCCACTAGCTCACCAGGGAGCTCAACACAGGCCCGAAGGCTGGAAGTTTGTTCATTTTTTCCTGTTTGGCCTCAGAAGAGGGTAGAACTATTCAGCTGTGTGTGATTGGCAGCAAAATCATAGAAATAACGGGTGAGATGGTGGGCAGACAAGTGCTAACAGCGAGTGTTTGCTCCTTGCACTGCTGGCATGTCCTTTCCTCTTCCTTCTTAGCATGTATGCAGATAGTGCCAGAGGTGGTTCATACTGCAGAAAACCTTTCTTCTCATTTTCTTTTGTGCATTAAGAGCTTTGGAGTCATCAGTGTAGCTGCCTTCCTCCAGTGCAGTCAGGTTGAGTTGGGTTGGGGTTTTTTTCATCCTTCATACAGCCAGGGGAGACAGAGCAAAATCTGGGAGCAGTAAAGATTTTTGCAACCCCTTCTTGCAAATTCCAAGCAAGAAATAGGGCCAGAAACTCTTTTTTTTTTTTTTTTTTTAAATGGGCTTGTTTTAACAATCATGGTGTTTTATGATGAGAAAATTACCCTCTCCCTGACATGCCTTGTTCTTTCTCTCAGGGTATTTGAAACTTTGGCAGCTCAGCAAGCCTCAGCTCTCAGGATATGATGCCATTTTTGTCGATGAAGCACAGGACTGCACTCCAGGTGAGAGGTGACAGGAAACAGAGCTGCAGCCTTCCTAAACACTTTACAGAGAGGATGTTCATGTGCTTGGGGGTGTGTGAGAGGTAGCACAATTAAAAAAAAATCTACCCCCCAGCTGTAACATTATAACTGATCCATTGCTTGGTCCCAGATCCTTGCAAATTCAGTAAGGGAACTTGTAAGCAGACAACAGGAGTGCATGTGCATCAGGTTGAGGGGTTGCTTTCACTTGTTTTGGGCATCCAGCCACACCATCCAGACCCTTTTGCTATCACTTTGCTGCCAGCAGGGAAAACCAGACTACCAGCATAGCCAAGGACATGCTTTATTACAAGAATGGCAGGATATTAAATGGTTCAGCTATCAGAACAACAGAGCTGCTCCATCCCACCCCAGCACTGGGGGCAAATCTTGCCTGTTCCTTGCACCATCCTGGGGATTCCCGAGTTGCGCAGCAGAAAGCTGCTGGCTTTCTTTGCCGGGCATATGGGGAGTAGCTCTCCGTTGCAAAGCAAGCTGAATTTGTTCTGCAAAGGGATCTAAGTGGACCGAACTGTGTGCTGAGGAGCAAAAGAAGGGAGGCAGAAGAAGGCCTGGTCTTTTCAGCAGATCTTAAATCAGTTCAAAGGCTTCATCATCCCATCTCCCACCTGTACACACTGGAGACCTGGTCTTGGGAATGTCCGGCTGTGCTTTCGCAGCCGCACGCAATGCAAGCGGTTGCTCTGCCAGCATCACTGAGCCTTGAGCAGGTCGAAGTGGACTGGAGGGCTTGCTGAGATGTGCATTGAGTCACTGTGCAAACATGTGGTGCGTCCGGATCACCGGAGGATAGGTGGTGGATTTCTGCTGGTCTCACACGTGGGGGATTAAGATGCCGAGCAGCTCCATCCAGGAGAAAGTACCGTCAGACTAAAATAGTGGGAGGACATTTGTAGACCTCCCAGTCAGCTACGCACTTCCCTTTGCTTCTCCCCAACTGGTCTCCTGCAGCCATGTTGATCCCTTCTTAAAAGCCATCAGGCAAGAGAACTTGCCTCTGTACAGGCAAGAGATATTGTACCGTTCACTCTTGGTTTACGAGCAGGCTCCCCCTTAATGCTCTGATGTTTTCCTGCAGCCATCGTGGATATTGTGCTGTCACAGAAATGCGGCATAATCCTTGTAGGAGACCCTCACCAGCAGATCTATACCTTCCGAGGCGCTGTCAATACCCTCTACTCGGTGCCTCACACCCATGTCTACTACCTCACCCAGGTAAGATGAGGGTCTGCTGCTGTCCTTCCCTGGACAGATCCCTAGTGCAATGAAAAATGTTTCATGTCCTTCTGCAGAAGGCATCTAACAGCCAGACTTCTTGAGTTTGTCACTGTGGAGTGTTTGCGTTGCCCAGTTTGCGTTGCTGTTCCCACTCTGCACTGCAGAGCTCCCTTGTGCCTCTTCACGGAGTGATCTCATCACTAGGAAAGCCATGTGGTTTGAAAAATGGATACTGGGGTAGAGACCTTAGTATATGGCTTATTTCAAGGAGATTCCTTCTTTTCTGGGTTGGTTCTCATCCCCAGCTGAGCAGGCAGGGGCAGATATCCTCCTTGTTCATATTGTCAGTCAGTTACGACAGTAGGTCCCGTGCAGAGAGATGAAGGAGTTCGGAGCATCCAAAGCAGCGTGACCAGCAGGTTGAGGGAGGGGATTCTGCCTCGTGAGACCCCCCTGCAGTGCTGCATCCAGCTCTAGGGTCCCCAGGACAAGAAGGACATGGAGTTGTTGGAGCGAGTCCAGAGGAGGCCACGGAGATGATCTGAGGACTGGCATGTCCTTTCCTCTTCCTTCTTAGGCTGAGAGAGTTGGGGTTCTTCAGCCTGGAGAAGAGAAGGCTCCAGGGAGACCTTAGAGCCCCTTCTAGTCCCTGCAGGGGCTCCAGGAAAGCTGGAGAGGGGCTGGTGACAAGGGCAGGGAGTGACAGGCCAAGGGGAATGGCCTGAAGCTGAAAGAGGGGAGATGGAGATGAGAACTGAGGCAGAAGTTTGTGTGAGTGAGGGTGCTGAGGCCCTGGCAGAGGTTCCCCAGAGAAGCTGTGGCTGCCCCTGGCTCCCTGGCAGTGTTCAAGGCCAGGTTGGATGGGGCTTTGGGCAACCTGGGCTAGTGGAGGGTGTCCCTGCCCATGGCAGGGGGGTGGGGCTAGATGACCTTAAAAGGGCCCTTCCAACCCAAACCGTTCTGTGATTCTATAAGCAAGGAGATGAATTTTGTTCTGGCAGTAATCTCCTTGAAATAAACCCACACTGATTAAGGAGGACAGGTACACATGCTGGCTGTACACATGATTTTTTTTTTCCTGGCTCTGTACAAACCCCAGCATTGCCACCTCTGTCCCGCCAGCACGCCTTTGTCCGTGATATCTCCTGCCCTGTTTGTCTGCCGAGGGCGTAATTTTCGTGAGCAGCTTCAGCTGATCTGAGTTTGCCCTGGAGGAGAGCTGCCACCTTCCTTCAGCACAAGTGATGCTGTTTCTGCAGGCTGCTGTTACGCCAACTGAAAGCTCACCCTGATTAATTTTTTTGGCCTGATTAGCCACATGGCTATACAATTCTCACATCTAATATAAGGCAGGAATTATCCTTTTGGGAATCCTTGCAGAGTGAATCAGCTTAAAACAGCAACACAAGCTGCAACGCAACCAGCTCCTAAGCCGCGACAGCCACCAGACTCCATCCGAGCTGCCTTTTTCCCGTTGCACCAGCTTTGCCAAGGGGCGGGAGCCAGGGACAGGTACATAGGAACAGGGGCTGCATTTATTTGCAGTGCCTTGTCTCGTGACAACCTCGGGACCAGCCTGGCATCACCTCGTTTGTGGAGGGGTTTTTTTTTGGGTAACAAGATTTTCCATTTCTCTTTGCTGGTGGAGACGTTGTGCTCAGCCAGGCACTGGTGGTTTTTAATTGTGGTGTTAGTAAAACTTGATTAAGGCTTTGACCTCGCCGTGTTTTGACTGTTGGACCCAGATCTACAGGTTAGGAAATCATAAGGAGCAACTCCCAGCCCTGCTTTGCTGCTCCGGTGTGTCACCTCTCCAGCAGCCCAGCAAAGTGAGGGACCTGCCACCTCTAGCCCCTTGCCCTGCTGCAGGACAGATGGGCCATGTTGATTTAACTTACTGGGAAGGAGTCCTGGCCATGGCAGCTGTTGGCGTGGAGAGGCTTGAAATGGCATTTTGCCCTGTGTGATAGTCCCATCTCACAGCACAGTTCCTATGGTCTTGGGTGTAAGAGCGACCAGGACTTCTAGGATTAATTTGGAGGGATTTGGGCGTTTTTTTCTAAGAGAAACCTTGTCCAGAAGGTTGGTGGGAATTGTACAGTTCTATATATAGTAATACTTTAGTAGGTTCTAACAAGTTCCTCTTCTTTTCCTGCTGTTTCCTTCATTTTTTTCCACGTAGAGTTTCAGATTTGGTCCTGAAATAGCTTACGTTGGAGCAACCATCCTGGATGTCTGCAAGAGGATCAGGAATAAGACATTAGTGGGTGGAAGCCAAAAGGGTAAGTTGTGTTGGTGCACCACTCGGCTCGGCCAGCTCTGTGTGGTGACTGGGAGTCACAGAGCTGCTGCACAATAACCAAAGTATCTTGGGATTAATCCTGATTTATGAAGATGTTTGGGTTTTAGATACCTGCTTTCTAACTGCTCTGGCTAACTGGGAATTTCTTCGTGCAGGTGATGTGAGAGGCAGCAGGGAAGGGAAGATAACAATCTTATCACGAAGCAATTTAAATGTGTTCGAGGACGCTGTGAAACTTACTGGAAGAGAGAGACCGATTAAAATACATGTGATTGGGGTAAGGGAAAATTGCCAGTTTGTCTGTCACGTCCCAACCTCAAGTCCCCAAACCTGTTGGCACTTGTAGCGGCGTCACCTACGTGTGTCTTGAAATAGGTGTGGCTGATCTGTAGGGTTAAAACTAATATTCAAGGAGAAAGCAGCAATCTGGTGTGGCTGGGGAAGGGTTATTTGGAGCAGCGGTTCCTCAAATCTGCGCAGGCAAGGTTCCCTTTTTAGGCTGATCCGTCCCTTTTTTTTTCATCAGGCTCAGATGAGACGGCAACAGCTCCAGTCTGCTGGATGGGGCAGGGACAGAGGGATACACGGCTGTAACAAGTCACTGCGAGTATTTGCATTAGATGGAGCGCTGCTGACTGCCTTTGGCACCATGTTCCTGCGTCAGGGAAATAAAAATCAGCTGTAATTGCAGGCTGAGTGTAAAAAGCAACGAAAGGCTGTTGGCTGTACCCTCAGAGAATAAGCATTTCTCAAGCTCTCTTGAGAAACAAAGGCAATGTTTGAAGCTGAAGGTGACCTTAGGGTTTGTGGTTGCCACAGAGGGCTGTGCTGTCCTCGTTACTAATTTCCAGTCCTGTGATGGTCTGTTCCCCATCTCGATATGCCCAGGAAAGCCAGGGAAAGCTGGTTTGCCAGCGCTGATGGTGAGGGAAATTGGGATTTTCAGCAACGCTGAATTTTAACTCCTTGAGGGAGCAACAGCTCTGAGGTTTGCACTGAGTTTTCATCTGCAAAAAGCGCCCGTGTATCTGAAAGAGAGTGTGCGTGTGTGGGCACGTCTGCAGAAATCCACGGGGGTGAATTGCAGGAAAGTTTTAATAAGGGTCCACGTTCCAAAAGCCTCAGAGGAATCATTGGTCTTCAAACTCTGCATCATCGATTACCTACGATTTAACTTGAGATCTTGTTCTGAAATGTTAGAAGCTCAAAGACAATGAACGGTTGTCCTAGTGCTGATCATGTTTGAGGATGAGCCTGGTCTTTTGAATTTTAGGCTGATGTTTTAAGTTCTTCATCTTTTTTTCACCGGAAAGCTGCATATTACAATGCAATGAGTGTTTGAACTGGCTGCCTGGTACCAAAATTCTCATCTGCTTTTGCAGTTTGGAACAAGTCTAAATTCAGACTGATGCTTCTTTTGATGGAACAAAACAAACTGAATTTGGAAACAAGGGGGGAAAATACTTTCTGAAATTAAAAATTGCCAAAGAAAGCCTTTTGTTTCGGTTTACATTGAATCTGAAACATTTACAGTCAGTTTAGCAAGTTTATCTTCATTGTGGTGGTCATCGCCTCAGGAAAGAGGATGCATTTGTGCCTGGAGCTGGCTTTACTGCGAAACAGCATGGAGTTGATAGACCAGCAGCATTTATGGCACAACAGACTTTTAAAATTCATTTTAACAAAGCAATATGCAGCTATTAAAAGCTAAAATGACCCAAACCCAAAATTTTTTTTGTTAGTGAAAGAGAAAACATTATAGAAATATTTTTTTTTCCCTTTGAAAAGCCTTTGAATATAAAATTCTGCCGTATCTCTGTTATAAAGCCGATCACACAGCGTCCTGTTCTCGCTGGCTGCCTGTCCGTCCACAGGGCTGGTTCGTTGCTTTTTCAGCTGCCTTTGCTTGTGCTACAGCTCCAGGGATTTCCAGAAACCAGCTTCCTTCTGCATCTTCAGCACATTTTCCTTTTTCCCTCCTTCTTAACACCAATAACCACTGGGCCCTGCTCGTTTATCTAGAAACTCTAGACTGCGCCTTTACTCCTGTATATTAAGATAAATTGTTGTTTGTTTTAGGGGCTCGCCCGTTTTGGCCTGAGCAGAATTTATGATATTTGGAAACTCAGTCAACCTGCAGATGAACGAAAAAAAGGTGAGTACATCCTCACCCTTCTCTCCATGCGTGATCCTCCCTACAGCAGCACGGACGGGTTCGTTTTTGCTGTGGTGATGGAAAGCAACACGTTTCTTGGTGGTTTATTTTCTATTTCCTCATGCAGTTATGTGTCAAAAACTGACTTCTCAGTGGCAGTTTCATGGGCTGTGCTGTTTCAGCTGGTGTTAATACCAGAAATGACAAAATTGTGGGGCATGTGTCATGCATCCCTCCCCAGTTTTTCCATGCAATGCCTTAGCCCAGTAAACTCATAAGTTGTTTTTTTCCCCCCTATGTTTTCTGATTTGCCTTCATTTTTCATTTGTCTTGGGCTTTGCTTGTTTTGTTTTTAAACCTGGTGTCACATCCTCTGTCACATGCTTTCTATTCACTGATGGATATAATTTAGAAATTAAATCATTCATTTAAAATCTCCCTCTGCTTTGGCAGCAGTAGGGGAGTATTGTTATATATGGGGCACGGGGACAAATAAAGGACTTAGTGAACTACCACGAGTGATTGATTATATGGGTGGTGTTACTAATTCTTTGGAAGCTGAGCTACCAGGAAAACTCCTTGCCATCTGGGTAAAAAGGGAGAATAACGCAGGTTGGAAGGGCCCTGCTCCAGCCAGGGCCTCTCTGAAGTCACATTAGAGTCTTTTCAGACTGCTTAGGGTCTTTTTTCCTTTAATTTCCGAGTATCTGTGGGAACGAAGGTCGTGCGGATTCTCTAGAAATGAGTGAGCTCGGAGAATGTTTGCCAGCTGCTCTCTCCTGAGCTCTGTAAACTTCCAGACCCTTCATAGTACACCAGCTCTGGATCTCAAAGCTGCTTTGTGAAACTACCCGCTCTGATGAAAGCATCGAGCTTTGATGGTGTTTTGCATCAGTAAAAAGAAAATCCTGAGCGAAAGCCACCTATGACAGCGGTGGCAGAGCGAGGAGTGCATCCCCCACCCCTGCATCCCACAGCAGCCGTCCATCCACTGCCCCACACTTACTCTGAAACTTGATTAGAATTTTAAAAAATGCCATTATGTCTGTCAAACTCATGTCATCTGCTACTTTTTTTTCAGCAAACCTTGTTATAAATGACTCCTTTATCAAAAAATGGGAAGAAACTCGGGGCTTCTTCGGTTTAAAGGAATATGCAGAGTGCATCGATGACAAAGACCTGGAAGTGAAAATTGCAATAGTGGAGAAATACAAAGATCAGATCCCTGAGCTGGTGAAGAAGATTGAGAGCAGCCACGTGTCCCAAGAAGCCGTGGCAGGTAAAGCCAAGCTATGTATCTGGTAGAGGAGCAAATTCAGGTCTTTTTTCAATCCAGCTTCTGTGCTGAATCCACCTCTTTCTGCAAAAAGGCCAAATTTGGATCAAGTCTGTCTTATAGGGAGAAAGGAAGTTGAGCCGCAGCTTCTGGCACCTCTGCTATGGAGACAGGCTGAGAGGGTTGGGGTTGTTCAGCCTGGAGAAGAGAAGGCTCCAGGGAGACCTTAGAGCCCCTTCCAGTCCCTGAAGGGGCTCCAGGAAAGCTGGAGAGGGGCTGGTGACAAGGACAGGGAGTGACAGGACAAGGGGAATGGCCTGAAGCTGCAGCAGGGGAGATGGAGATGAGATCTGAGGCAGAACTTCTTCCCTGTGAGGGTGCTGAGGCCCTGGCAGAGGTTCCCCAGAGAAGCTGTGGCTGCCCCTGGCTCCCTGGCAGTGGTCAAGGGCAGGTTGGATGGGGCTTTGGGCAACCTGGGCTAGTGGAGGGTGTCCCTGCCCATGGCAGGGGGTTGGAACTAGATGACCTTAAAAGGTCCCTTCCAACCCAAACCGTTCTGTGATTGTGTGATCTGGGACTCCAGGTGGAGTTTGGTAAAATGAATCTTTCACCAAAGGTTTCTCAATGTGGCATTGCTAGAGGCAAATAAACCTTTGGACACAGTATTTCCTGTGGTTTGGAAAGCCCCAGGACTTTATCTTGCTTTTCGGGATTCCTGTTGTAGTTGCCCTGCAACTTGCTGACTAAAATTTAGGGAGGGGACGAAGCTATCAAGTCAAAAATTCACCAAATAAAGAGCGTTCATTCCTGTTTGGGAGTTGGGGCTGCGTCTCAGGCTGGTGACCACCAGGCATTTTCCTTGTCAGGAAGGTTGTCTTCAGCAGTCTGGATTCCTGACAGAGGTGCTTTACTTTTGATTTATATTTGGGGAGAAGTGAAACGAATGCAGAATGAAATCATTTCATTTGACTCGGCGCCTGGTGAAATTAAAAATGCCATTATTGCTGCAATGACTGATCTTTTTTCCTTCGTGTTCCTCACCTGCGTTGGTCACAGATTGCCTCATAGGTACTGTCCACCAAGCCAAAGGCCTGGAGTTTGATACGGTGCTGATTGCAGATGACTTTGTGGAAGTACCGTGTCTCAGTGGCAATTACCAGAGAAGAACTAACTTCAGTATCGGTAAGGGAACGACTGTGTGCGGTACCCGTCCTGATCTAAAAGTGGGGAAGCAAAGCGTGCTGCCAGCGCTTGTCCTGCAAGCCTGTGCTTCTCGGTGGCGTCAAGTGCCACTGGCTGTCCTAGTGATCATTGACCTTGTCGTAGTTTCCTTCACAGCAAGGTAGGGGAAGGGGAATATTCCTGCAGTAGAGCTTGGAGCAACAAGCAATATAGAAGGACCAAGTTCACACTTGGAAAAGAAGCTGCTTTCCTTAGGTGCCACAGTTTATGCTGTGGAAGAGCTGGTCTCTTCCCAGGGAGCAGAGAGGATCTAGAGACTGAGAAGTTCCTCCAGTGCCAAATCTGTGCCCAGGAAGCGGGAAAACACGTAGCAGTGAGCTGCTGCTCTGGGCATGTAGAGTCCTGCCTGGAAGGGAGAAGGTGGAACAAGCCAGGAGCTATTGGTGGTGTCAGGAACTGCACAGCAAACGCGGGAGAGAGCTGCACAGCTCTGCTGCTCTGCAGGTTCATGCAGAAACACCAAGTGTCCTTCCAGAAGTCCTAGAAGAATGGCAGAGCTGTTCATTCTTATTTTCTAAAGCATCAGCCAGCAGTGTGCCCTCATGGCCAAGGCGGCCAACGGTACCTGGGGTGCATCAAGAACAGCGTGGCCAGCAGGTCGAGGGAGGTTCTCCTCCCCCTCTGCCCTGGTGAGGTCACATCTGGAGTTCTGTGTCCAGTGCTGGGCTCCCCAGTTCCAGACAGACAGGGAACTACTGGGGAGAGTCCAGCCGAGGGATGC